AACCACCTACACTCAGAACAACCCAAAGTAGGAACTCTTACACCACTTTAGACCCAACAGTAGTTGTATTATTTATATTATGTTACAACCACCTACACTCAGAACAACCCAAAGTAGGAACTCTTACACCACTTTAGACCCAACAGTAGTTGTATTATTTATATTATGTTACAACCACCTACACTCAGAACAACCCAAAGTAGGAACTCTCACATCACTTTAAACCCAGCAGTAGTTGTATTATTTATATTATGTTACAACCACCTACACTCAGAACAACCCAAAGTAGGAACTCTCACATCACTTTAAACCCAACAGTAGTTGTATTATTTATATTATGTTACAACCACCTACACTCAGAACAACCCAAAGTAGGAACTCTTACAACACTTTAGGCCCAACAGTAGTTGTATTATTTATATTATATTACAACCATCTACACTCAGAACAACCCAAAGTAGATCTTCCAAGTCTGCCATAGATCTTCTGTTGGTGTTACAATATGATTCCTTTTTTTTTACCATGACCGTACAGGCCTGGACCAACTTTGTGCATAGTTGTTGCACTTCTTCTCTTAACCAGGAATGGAGCTCCAAACATCTCCACAGCTGGTTCTTCTCTCAGTTATAAAATAAAAAACACAATATTTCAAATAAGTAAAGATGCCTTCATGGAACAAAAAAAAAGGGCAGCAACAGGTTCTAAACCCCACCTCAGTTTAATCCGGACCTACGCTCACATCTGCATAGTGGATGCTATGGTTCCAAAAGAGATCCCTCGGATTCAAAAAGCCATTGTGGTGAAACTGGACTTATCTCTGGTACCATGAACAAGATGATAAACAATGGATTTCAACGAAAGCTCACAAGTTTCCAGTCATAATTCCGAATCGACAATGGTTTTCATGAGGAAGATGCCCAAAGAAACTAGAATCACGTCAATCACTCTCATTTCACCATGTACCCGTCTTATCATTCATTACATCTTCAATAAACTTTAGGGCCTCTGGTTTTCTTAAACTTGGTCTTGGAAACAGACCTCCACACATGTGAAGGATCCGTGGAAAGTTTGTTAAGAGGTATGGTTTAATACTCGCCATCTTTTGCAGAATCTTGCTACAAACGAAACAGCAGTGTTGGACACAAGTGCGCACACATGACTGTCATTCTAAGCACGATCGTGGATAAAAGAAGAAATTCCAAGGACAGCACGACACCTGTAACACCTTTCTTTAAAAAATGAGAGTAACCTCAATACCACTTTGTTTGTATAATAAGATATAACACCACAACAACCTGCTACTTTAACATTTGAAATATACAAGGTTTAGATTAAATCAACAACCTTTAAAAACCGAACAGTGTTGAACTGGATTAAATCATCAATCTTTAAAACCAAATAGTGTTGAACTGGATTAAATCAACAACCTATAAAACCAAACAATGTTGAACTGTATCAAATCAACAATCTTTAAAATCGAACAATGTTGAATTGGATTAAATCAACAATCGTTAAAACCGAACAATATTGAACTGGATTATTTTTCCCCACGTTTCGAATGGCTAAAAATACCAAGTCGGCAAACCACTGAATATGGCGAAT